CGCAAGGGGCATTCAAACAAAAGGACAGCTCTAAAACGACTTCTTCGTTTTCTGGACTCTCAAAGAAACTTTACTTGAGTTTAGCTGATTTTACGAAAACCTTAGCGATGAAAGTGAAACTGTAAGTGGTTAACCTTTTTTCTCTTGATTTTTGCAAATTTTGTTTGTTCGAATTGAACATGAACATAACATTTTTTGATTTTATGCTTGTTATTCATCATTTTATGAAAAGTAATGAATTAAAATTGATTGAGAAATTAATACGATGGAATTTTTGTGTTAATACATGTATCACAAGTTTGTTACGTGAGCTTACATCGAGTTGAACCAGACTCAAAGGGAAATTTTATAGCGGAGCTCCACACGCGGCGCGAAGCGCCGCGCATGGGCGGGGTCCCATAGCTAAGGAAATGTGGTAATCTGCCCATCCGAGAAAATTTGGTAATCACGTGACCGTACACCGAGCGAGCGAGCGAGCGACCGTCCCTCCGCACCACAGGCATACCAATGTAAAATAACTCAATCAACAGGTATGGCAACTCAAGGTTTTATTTGGAAGGAAATCACATGGTTGCCCGGACTTTTAGAAAGTAAAAACAACGACAAAGTCGTGTCTTTTTCGGCGCTATTTTTTATGTTTACACTAACGTGGATAACACAGAAAGAGCTAGAGCGAGTTATTGAAAATTGTTAGGAAGAAAAACATGAAAATTCAAAGCGGCGATGAGAAAATGAGAAATGCTAGCGGCAGTGAAAATAAAAGCGAACATGAACACAGGAAACAAAATATTGGGTAAGCAAATACGACAATTCCTCCAAAAAAATAATGTGTAACAATAAAGTTTGACGTTTTAGTCGTACAAAACAGCGCAGCGTTGTAGTCGTGCAAAACAACGGCAAGTGAAAGACAAAAAAGCGTGCACGTGCAAATTTGTTTTTTGCTAATTAGAGGAAAAAGTGTGCTGCACGTGCAATTTGGTTTTTTGCTAATTAGCTCTATTAGATCCTGTTTACATGGAGTGGGGGACCCCGGTCTAGTGGGGTAAGTTTCTTTTGTTTTGTGTCCCCCAGAGCGTGAAAACAAAAGAAACCAACCCCACCAGACCGGGGTCCCCCACTCCATGTAAACAGGCCCTTAGTCTTGAAGCCATTTTCATTGTCGTCCCTGTTTAGCGTTACACGATATATTTTTTTTGTTTACACGTATTATTAACCAGAGCTTCGCTTTTAGCCCTGGCTAAATCTATATATTATCTGCTCGCTGATCCTTTATTTTGGACGGTCAAAACACCTTCAGATTAATTTACTTGTTCTCGGTTAAAGCAGTTTTTTGGATTTAGTTACGATACTTTGAATCTGCTAAAGTTTGTCATTTGTTTTCAAAAGTAAATCTCGTGTTTTGTCGAGTATAAAAATGGCAAAGAAAGGAAAATGGCGAAAGGCATGAGCTGAGTAGAAATAAACTGTAAACAAACAGTAAAGAAACAAATTGCGATAAAATTGGAAAACTTACGTGGTAGGATGACACCAGTGTAGTGATGTTGCTGTGCTGCTTGATGGCTGATGACAGATCCTTCACCTGCTGTGGAGTCATCTTCACCTGTTGAAGCTTCAGTCTCTTCAGGTGAGGAGCGCAGCTGAGATGCTTAATCAAGCTGTCTACTCCTGCACCCAGAAGAGGATTGAATGACATGTCGAGCAACTCCAAGTTTGGTGCTTTTTTAAATACATTGTTGATGAACTCCACAGCAGGTGATGATGTTACATTGGTACCACAGAGTCTTAATTTCTCCAGTTTGTGTGTTACTTCAGTTACTTGGATGCTCCTCAGCAGAGACTCTGTTACCTCAGCATCGTACATTTCACCGTCTTCACCCCCAACCTTTATCACATGTGGAGCGGTGATAAACGGCATCATCTCAATCATCAGTTCCACACCTGACCTGTTCACACCATGAGCTTCAATCTCCCAAACCCTGGAGAGACCATGACGTTTTGAACAACAGCTGACGCTGCTCTCTTCACTTGACTCATCACCATTCATGTTTGTCTTCTTTCTTGTCTCTTGTTTACTAATAAGCGCCATAATTATATCCCAAGGAAAAGGAATGCCTTCCTCTTCATATTTAACAATTTTAGCTAAATAAAGGTGAGTGTTGTTTTCTTTCTTTAAAAAAAATTCATCAATCCTACGCCATGTTAAGTTGCTTAAAAATTCTGATGCTTTCTTTTCTCCCGCAGAGCTAACAATAACTGCGTTTAATTGTTGGGCTAAAATAATTAAATTTCTATAGTCCTGCTCTGTATACCTATTTAAAAAACTGTTTTCATTAAAAAAAACGTAGTTGTGTGTTTCGGTAGTTTGAACTAATTTTTCCCGTACGATAACATTTAGTTGCTCTGCACTAATTAAAAGAACTCCTCCTAAAGAGGAAAGAAATGTAGGAAAGAGGTTTTTTCTTGTCTCAGCTGAGCAGTAGAAAAATAACTGATTACAAAGATTAATAAAATCTGTTTGTTCTTCTGACAAGTCCTTCTGTGACGGTGTTTCGTTGTCGAAGCGAAACTCTGTCAGTTCTTCTTTCGTCGCCGCTATTCCAAGTTGAATTAGAATGTCGGGCGCGGCTTCTTCTGACAACTCAACAGCAAATTTGAGCGCTTCATTTATTTTAAAGATCTTTTCAACTGAGTCCACTTTTGACAGGGAATTGGTGCCTTCAGCCTTTTTAGATGTCAGCTCTTCTTTCAGGAAATTCCCAGCCAGGTATTCTTGAACGGATTTGTGAATAAAGTACACGCCTTTTTCAGGATTCAAACTCGCCATATTTAAAACCTGAAAAAGGCCGACTTCAATCAGCCTCTCGATCGAACTATAGCCAGCAGGTAACTGACTAAAAGGGAAATAAAGCTGGCCTTGCAAAAGGGCTTCAAAGGCCAAGCGTCCTAAAGCGTATAATTCATCTGAGTAATCTTTAACCACTGATTCAGCAGACTGTTTTTCACGCAAATGATCAAACAAAGTCTTGACAAATTGGGCGAAGATGTGTGCGCGTTCCTTTGGTAGTGCCTTGCGTGTTGTTTTCGTCCACAGCAAGCATAACATTAGTAAAAGAAGGGGAATTTGTGCTAGTTCACTTAGGTTGTGCTGCCGTAAATACATAAAAAAATCTTCAATATCTTTATCATCTTTTAAAAACCTACGAGCGAACTCTTTTTGGCGCTGATCATTAAAGCCGTCAATTTTGAATTGAGCATCACTACAAATTCTCAACGTCTCAGCTTTCATTTCCCTTGAAGTAATTACAACACAACAATCTCTTAATTGGCTTTTTTTCCAGATTTTGAAGACAGGCGACTCTTTTTTTGAATTGTAAACATACTCATCGTAGCCGTCCAAGATAAGCAAGACTTTTTCTTGATGGCGACAAACGTAATCATACAGGTTGTGTACGGAAATTGCACCATTACTATCCAGCACTTCACAAGCCCTCAGAATGGACGGAACATCTTGGAGATTACTAACGTCACGTAATCTCACCAGAAGGACAAGATCAAATGCTCCTAATGTTTCTGAATAGCTTTGCTGGGACCAGTCAAAAGTTGCTTTCTTCGTGAAAACAGTCTTGCCGATACCTAGGTGGCAATTAAACAACAAACTGTCGATACGTCTTCAATAGATTTGTTTTACTTTATAATAATGGGAAGTCATGTGAAATGGAATGCAAAATATTGAAATGTTCTTTCATTTTCAAACAACTTAATTTTAAGGGAATTTTTTAAATTATTCTTACAGAATAACTTTTAATACCATGTGCGGTGGATATAAAATAGTTAACAATTTAACAAAGTATCAGTTAATGATGGGTGCCCTCTGCCTCTAAAATTATGCCAAGGGGACATTTTGGAATTATCAGCGTTGTTAAAAGAATTACATCCATCGACAATGGTGTCTCTTTTACATATTAAAGTATGTTGTCATTAAATTTAATTCTCTCAGTACAGATTTTCTCCTTCCTTGTTTTTGAGTACATAAAGGTAGTTTAGTTTGATAAATGTCAGTATATAGTACGTTTGATCAAATTGAAATACAACAAAAAATGTTGTTTAGAAAAAAGGTCTGAACGGTACAATGTAATTTAATACGAGGAGTTTACAAATGACAAATTATCAATGAAAGATAAAGACAATGGAAATGAATTTGTAAACTCAATTATGAGTACTTGTAGAACTTCATATACAGACTATTTACCTGATATCAAATTAGTCAAATTATATCGGTTGTGGTTCAGTTTTGTCCTGGGATGATTTTTTTCCTTTTTATCCCTTTAGCATACATTTATTTAAACTTGAACTTCAGATAAATTTGAGTCACAATATTAATATTCTTACCAGTTACTACATTAATTGGAGTCAACAGTGTATGTTCTGCTGATTGCTCTATAAAGCCAATTGTTTATCAGGCTGGCTAAACTCATAAAAAACTGCAAAACTTTGTTTTAACTTTCAGTCTATTGCAACAGACCAAACTTCATGGTTAAAAATTACCCCACTTGGAATGTACATGCCAGTGAAACACTCAAGAAACATGTACCTATTTAAAATGTAATGTAATGTAATGTAAATATCATATTATCCACTCCTCTCAGGGCTTTTCAGGGATAATTTATAACACTGGTTGGGGGACTTTGCCAGACTGCTTAAGGTGCAGTTTACAAGTAATGAAGAAATGAGTAATGATGCCCCCATACATGAGTGTGAAAGTGAGATAGACCACTACACCGGGCACTACCTGCCCTACTCTTAACGAAGAGTATGTGGGCTCTTTAAAGTCCCACAGATTTTTTTATTAAATGTGCAAGAGCTTGTGAGACGGGGCCTACAGTTTATCGTCCTATATCACCACCTTAAAGACTGCATTGACGCTAAAACCTTGTGCAGATTCATTATGTTAGTAGATGAACGGTTTCTGTGTTCTTGTATGTTTTTGCATGTACTTACCCTCCAGTTAAATTAAGACAATTCTTTACTTAATTTACTCACTTACCTGGCTGTCCATAAACCAAAATTCGCTTAGGTGCAGAACGAGGTTTTCTGTGAGCAAAAATATCAGTGTAGTGGACAAGGTTTTCCTGTATCACTCCCCTGGGTGTCCTGTCATCCATGACCCAAGACAAGTCTGTATAGATCTTGTCAATATGAACAGCAGAGTTCTGGTCCCATGGAATGATTTTGACTTTGCTACTGGTTTCATAAAGTGATCTTAGCTGTTTCTGGCACTCCTCAAGGCATACTGCATCTGTTAACAAGGATTTTTTGTCAATTCCTAGAGGTTTTTTAGTAGTTGACTGACTTGATTAGCAACCCTTACCAGGAGGGGCAGACAGTCAATTGACAAAAATAAATAAAAGGAAACAGCAAGTGGATGAATGATTGCGAAAAATAAATATTAGGTACAACAAAGAAATGCTCAGAAAAAAAATCCAAAACCTTTTAAACTGGAATCAAACCCACAACCTTCCAGATACTGGTAGGATGCTCTAACCACTGAGCTATGGGTGACTCATATGGTAAGCAGGTCATAGATAGGTTATTTTGTTGAGGCAGCATAGGTGGGCGGGTGGGTGGGTGGATAGATAGACTGAGACATACCACAACATCATTTTCAGTTTTGTGGATTTCCTTAGACAGTTCCTAAATTTTTGAAATAATTTCAACACAGCTGCAACAAAGACAAGAATGTTTTCAAGAAGTTTCATTTCCCATGTGCTCTTTCTTCAAAATAATTTGATGATGCTAAATGTTTTCCCGAAAACATGTCTCACCAAAAAGAAGCCTAGTAAATCCCCAAGATAAGGCAAAAATGAGGCAGGGAAAGTGATAGAAGTAGGGAGAAGAGAAAGCAACAAAATAACACTCATATTAATAACCTATTTTAGCATAGGGAATAAAAGGCAGTGTAGTGTTACTGTTGGACTTACAACATTTTACAAAGTTGTGGATCTTTTTGGCCATATTAAGGGACCAGAAAATGGACAAAAAAATGAGCTTCAAAAACAGCATTTTCCAGCAAAATTTCCGAGAAAGAAAAAGGGGTTATATAACACGTCAGGCAAAAATAGACTGCTCTCTTGGCGAAGACATATTTCACAATTATAAGAGAAAACTGTGCTCTAGATGCGACAAACAACTATATTGAAAGATTAATGTTATTTCTACTGAAAGCAGTGTGCATCAATCATTTAATCTGGAAGGGCTTGTTTAAAATGTAAAAAAACGAAATGACGAAATGGCGAAATGACAAAATGACGAATTAGCAAAATGACTAAAATTATTTAGAAATAATACATATTTTTCTTTTACTAGTATTCCTCCCTACTATTCTTAAGGTGGAGTTGTCACGCACACTCCACACCATTGCACAGCGATTTTTGCGCAGCCATAATATGATTTGAAGGCTCTGGTGATGAGATTGTTGTCATGCAGAGTTTGTGTGATTTACGTGTGCAAGCTTATCACACGCGCTGAATTATAGCTTGTCTGTGGGGAAATGTATGTGAAGATGAAGGAGTAAAAAGTCCAAAGTAAAAAAAAATGCTTACAGTTCTACAGGTACAAATACACAGGGTAAATAATTTTGCTTGATAAAATTTGTTTGCATTCCAAGTATACAAAAGCAATAATGTTAACGTGAATTTGCTTAATTACAATTGCCAATAAATTGCTTAAAGCAAGATGGCGTGCATAATTTTTGTCCTTTGTCCTAAACAATATGTAATAAAAGTGGGGGTGTTGTCCTAAACAGGGCATGTATAATAAAGGTTTTTTTTTTGTCCTAAACTGGGTCAGGTTTCAAACCCTCAGTGGCTCACTTATACCCAAATATTGGTCAAGTACCCCTTCCCTGGGGGGGGGGGCAGAAACTGACACCATTTTGAAAACCAAGAATCCCCCGGGAGGAGGAGAGACCTTGGAACAAGAAAGATGACATGACTGCGATAAGTCATGAACAGAAAGAGACATTATAACAAGATTAGTGAGGCTTTGCATGCTGAGCAGACTTTTGCCGGTTCATAGAAGACAAAGAAATAACAACGAGACACGACAAAAAAACAGGGAGTCATTTGTTTGTTTTTACTGTTTAAGGAACGTCATTTCACCATTTTGTGTTTTAAACACACCCTAATCTAGAAATCGTCCTAGATAACGGTGTATTTTCATTGGCAGGATAGTATACGTACCTGGTATCTGTCTGTCTGGCTTTGTGGTTGTCTCTGACTGATTCTTTGCTGTCAAGTCTGTATAGAAGAAAAGTAATATAAATTTGAAAAGCCCCTAAAAACAAATTTTTCTTTTGGCCTTGGTTATTTGGTATTGTAATATTGATGTATGATTTGAGTTTGAAACAGAGGGAAAAATGTGAACCAACGATAATATTGAAACAGTTTACACAAAAATATCTGAACAGAAAATTCATCGCTATTAATAATCAATCACTAGAACAGGGATGTGACATACCTTCATAGTGAGGCCATTCTTTAAAAACAACAGGATCATTTAACATGTTGGACACAAGAGAAGCTGCCATGATGGAAGCAAATGACTTCCAGGACTCATCAGAAGTGTTGCTATCATCGGAAAAATGTGATATCCCTTTAACAATCACCCATTCAATGTTCATATCATGGGCTGCAGCAAACAGTCCTGTAAGTGGAAAGAAAAAAACAGACAATACAATTAGAAAATGATCCCTATTCAATCCACTGTGAACAAGAATCTACTAGCACAGCTTAGATCATAAGCTCAGAATTTTCCTCTGCAGTGTAGTGACTGAAATTTATAATCTTTTAAGCTCAATAGTAATTTATGTTGACTTCCTGGCAAAATTTTAATATAATAAACCACACCCCACAATAACCTATAATCACACCGTCACCATTGGTCCCATTTATAGTCAAACATGATTGGCAATATTAGGTACTGTACAGTACTGCCATTGCATGGTCACAAGCTGCTTCTCAGGGACAATTTAGAGTTTTAGACCTCAAATCGAATGTTACATCAAATTTTTATAATAGTTATATGCATATAATCTTACCTTCCCCTTCTCTTTCAACTGCAATCACGTGCGATTGAGACATAAGGTGTTGTTTGGTGATGAATTGACTACCACTGAATATGACACTGTCACGGTGTACCTGTACTGTTTCTTCACCAACTGGATCTTTTAATGGTGGATTCCAGCCTTCAGTTGAAAACAAGTTAAGGTTGCCAATATTTCTTCTTACTGGAGTTGTGAATTCTTCAGTTGACAGTTTAGAGGATACCACTACATCTCCTAACTTAGTGTCTTTTGATTTTAAACCAATGCATTCGCCAACGCAAAAAGCAACCTTGGGTCTCAGTTTCATCACCGCATTTTTAATAACATTTTGAGAGCCACCTGGACCAGAAGAACCTTTATAACATCTCATCAAAGCAACTTTCAGTGCCTCTTCTCCACTTTCACCCATGGTCCCAAAGTACACATATCCCAGGATCTGGTCATAACTTTTAAAAGAATTTTCTAAGAAAGTATAACAAGCTAAAAACTCGCAGTCTTCAACTGTCAGCAAAAGAATGTCAACAGGAAGCTGGACATCACTCCAAGGGTTTGACTTGTTTGGAAGATCTCTTATTTTAGGCACTTCAATACTCAGAGGAGGAGGAGGGCCATGATTTCTTGACATCTGATGATCAGGATCAGCACCTCCTTTTCTTTTAAGATCTTGATGCTGCGCCATTGAGTCTCAGTTAAAGATGTCCCTAAAGAGTGTAAATTTAATCATAATACGATGACCACATTAAATAACTTATAAACAACTTTTTTTATTAATTAATTACCTTTATGTCACAGCTATATTTTTTAAGGGTCAAACCTCTCATTATATTAGGGGACACTACTGTATGGTGACCACGAGAAGTGTCCACCTAGAGGTAAAAGATCCAGGTGTTCTAATTTGCCTCACAAAGGTCAAAAGGCAGATTTTGTATCTGCCTCAGTCCATGACTAGTTAGTGTTCACTTTTAGAAGAGGTGTCCATCCACTTCACAAAGGTCAATATGCATTAAACAGTGTTTGTAACTTCGTGGATCCACACAACTCAAGTTCTTACTGTGGAAAGGGTTCCGTTTCACAAAGGTCAATATGCAGTGTTTGTACGTGCCTTAGTCCATGACTTGAGTTAGCATCCACTTTTAGTAGAGCTGGCCATGGTGTACACTTCACAACAGTCAATTTTAATGTAGTGTTTGAAAATTCCTGGGTCCACTGGACTTGTTCTTACTATGGAAAGGGGTCTGTTTCACAAAGGTCAATATCCAGTGTTTGTAAGTGTCTGCAGTGCATGGCCAAAAATACACTCTTAAGTCTTAGTGACTGGGACCATGACTAATTAAGTCTATGCTTAGAGGAGGGGTCCATTACTAGCAAAGGTTTGACTGTACCAAGTATTAGAGAGGTTGTTACGAAAAATTGTATTGAGTGACTTAAGCGTGACTTTCTAAAAGCTTCACACGAGTTCATAGTTTGTTTATTTTAAGTTCTTGTGTAAGCGTTTCTAAAGAGGTATATTTTGTAATCGTTCTATAATTAGACTATTTAGAATTTCTAAATTGAGAAAGTTCTAGAGCATTTGTGAAAGTATATAAGTAGGCGAGTCCGAGCGAAGGTTTCACTAGTTTTCACAAGAAAAGAGAATTTGATGTTAGTCATGTTTCGTCAAGTGTGACGGAGGCAGTATTTATTCAAGTTCGCAGACGCCATGTAAGTTTATTGAGTTTATTAGTCCTGTTGTGGAATTTTACCTTGTGGAAACTACGTTCATGTTTTGGAGTAAATCTTCTTGTAATGCTGTTCCGCCAACCCTGCATTCAGTTTAGTTTGCAAGCTACCCATCCTCTAAAAGACTACCCATGTAACAGAGGTTCATACAAGTAGTGATTAAGGTATGGTACTACGAAA